AGCAGGAGGGGAAGAATGAAGGGGAGTAAATCGGAGGGGGAGACGAACCATGAGAGACGATGGACTCTGAAAAACAAACTGAGGGTTCTAGAGGGGAGGGGGTGGGGGGATGGGTTAGCCTGGTGATGGGTATTAAAGAGGGCACGTTCTGCGTGGAGCACTGGGTGTTATGCACAAACAATGAATCATGGAACACTACATCAAAAACTAATGATGCAGTGTATGGTGATTAACATAACAATAAAAATTTAAAGGATTGTATCACCTAAAAAAATAAATAAATAAAAAATAAAAATAAAAAAATTAAATTGCCATGTGTTTATAAAGAATACTAAAGCAATATAAAATCAGATTGGCCATTATGAACATATTCATTTGAGGAAGTAATTCATATTTTGAAAACAAGTTTTTAACTTGCTCTGTGTTATAAAAAGATATGCTAGAAGCATCACATGAGGCCTTCCTTCCACATTACTAAAAAAAAAGTGTCAGTTTTTTTTATAGCAATTAAGCTCCTGGGTGGTAGTTTTTATTCTAAAATTGATCTTTAGGAAATATCTTTCTAAACTTGTGGTTTTTTATTGGCCTACTCAAAAATCCTACCAGGCAGAAAATGAAAGTTCCCTTCAATAGCATGTTACCTTTACCACTAAGTAGTATTTCTTCCTTCTGCCTTGCATTACTGTTAATTATTCATATATCTTTCTTTCCTGTAATAAAAGAAGATACTATCTTATTCATCTTTTTTTTCTGTCTGGTACCTGCCATAATCCTCAGCAGATGTTTAACTGAATTCATGTCAAATTCAAGAACAGAGTAAGAATAGAACAGATAAGACAACACATAGATTAAGAGAAGATAAAAGAAGATATCCAACTCTGTTTTAATGTGTTTATTTTGAATGATTGCTTTAAAATACTTTTTATTTTTATATTTGCTTTCATTTCTCAAGTAAAGGGATTTTAAAAACAGTTATACTTGTATAATTGATAGTTACAAATCTGTAAAATGCATGCTCTGAAATTTAAACTAAATATTACTTTTGTGTGATGACTGAAGTCATAATCTGTACAATAAGTGCTATATGAATTGTGATGGAACATATCTGGAAACAGAATTTCAGAAGCTAGGAAAAAACAATTGTAACATCCACTCCAGAAGTAACTAAATCAAATAGGAGCAATGGATGTTATAGGGAAAAGTTGCTATTCGGTAAAAAGAGGTCTTTCTCACACTTAGAGCAGCCCACAGTGGTATGGACCACCAGAAATGTTCATTTTTATTG